TTTTTTTTTTTTTTTTTTTTTTTTTTTTTTTTTTTTTTTTTTTTTTTTTTTTTTTTTTTTTTTTTTTTTTTTTTTTTTTTTTTTTTTTTGCGGGAACTAAAATCCCATGACCTCTTATAGACATTTACCAAGTTTGATGACATTTGGTCGGGTAGTTATATTTTTATAGCCATTTCAAAGTGGAACTTTAATTATAAAGACCCTGTATATTCAGTGCGCATGAAAATAAACGATTGATGCAATGATCTGATATTTAAGTTCCAGGACTCAATCTTAATGATTCGAGGAGGTGACCTCAAATATACCAATTAATTGATTTGGACGATATTTTAAATTTCAAAATCAGAAAGAAAAACATGCTTTCTTTGAATAAACATACCTGTTTTCGATGGATTCGAATTTTTGACCCCCGAATTATACGAGGTAGCCGCAACCTGAGAAATACGGCTCCAATAGTTTGGTCAGGAAAGCGGTCCAAAGTTTGGACCCCTAAATATTAATTATACTGTTACTGAATATTGATCATCTTATGTTATCATTATTTTCGTAACTTTATTTCTCCTGCACCAATTAGTTAACATATTTGGGATCTCCCCTCCGAGCTATTAAGATTGAGTCCTCGAACGTAAAACTCTCATCATTATCATTAAATCAAAAGTTATTTAGAGTGGCCCTTTCTTTATTGCTCACTGTACATTTATTTCTTGTGAAATTCCTTGTATGATAGTGTTACTTGTTTTTAAACTTTGAAAAGAAGAAACATTTACATATCAAAAACTGGAAGTAAATTATTTATATTAATAATAACTTTCCATTTTTCATCGTGAACCATTTATTGATTAATTCAATTCCATATATAGACTTTTGTTCAGCTCTATACGTTATTTAATGATAACAAATACGTACCCGGAAAATCCAAAGCACTTGTCCACATTATCTCAATAAATTCTGTACTTGTTACATTTGGTAAACATTCCACAACTGTATGAACATTGCCCAGAAAGTTTCTCTCAGAATTTGTTATATTCAATTCTAATGGAACAAACCAAAATATTCACAAAGTTAAGCAATGATTTGAAATAATTGGTTACATTTAAGATTCAATACAAAATGCATATTGATTCATCAATTAATATAACACTTCAAATTATTACTCATTATTAGTTTCAATGTTCTTTAAATATATAGGATTACTTTGAAAGATTTTTGTGGATTTAATAAAATCACATAACTGGTCTAACTTTTGGAAAACTTACTTTTTCTTGGTGATTTAAAATAATTGGTTACATTTAAGATTCGATTCAAAATGCATATTGATTCATCATTTAATTAACATAGCACTTTGTTTCAATTATTGCTCATTACTATCTTCTATGTTCTTTGTACTTTGGAGGATTAATTTGAAGGTTGATAATTAGGAGGATTTAATAAAATCACATAGCTGATCTTACTTTTTAAGTAGCCTAAAAATGTCATACTGTCTGCGAATTACTGCGAATTAATTGATTATACAGCGAATTGCATACCAGAACAAACCTCAATTAACCTCTACTTTTCATCAGCTCTAGATTTAAAACACGCATGCGCAATTTTCATTTACCCAACATAGTTTCCGGTCCCATGTTTATTGTACATTTTAATTTTCTTTCGAACTTTATTTCCGCAATGAATTTGTTAGTCAAATTTCTTTATTTAAGTGTATACACAAGCGACAGTATTTTGAATTGAATACCCTTTGTGTGTAAAAATATGGAAAAAAGGACGATAAACCTTTTCAATGATAGATTGTGTCAGAATTGTACAATACGTAGGAAATTCGTAAAGACTTTTAGGTGTTTCACAACATTCTGGTGAAAATGTTTACCGTTACGTTAGAGGAAAAATCTGTAAATTGACTTTAAAAACAAACGCTTAACATCTCTGCTTAAATGAATATCAATGTTTCAAACATTTATTAATCAATTAATTAGTTTTTCCATTATGAGGAAAGACTTCATCTGTCTTACCTTTAGTGTAGTTAAAAGTTAATAAGAAAATTAATTGAGAGTAAAAAGTATTAAATATTTTAATTTTTAAATGTAAACTATCTATAACTATCTAGAAAAATAACAAATAGTATTTCTCATTCCATCAGACAAATGAATCCTCTAAAACAACAGCAACAAAAATTCTGTTTTTACATCAGCCCAGTTTTATTACAGTATCCGAGCGAAAAATTTTGTGAAGCGGGAGCATGAAATTTGTTTCAATGGTGAAATTTTTGTTGTTAAAAAACTTTCATTTCTAATATCAAATTAATTTTAAATTATCTGTATATTTTTAACGCTTATATTCAAAAAACACAAAGAGAACAAAAAAGTACTATGCCTGATCGTGATTTATAAATTGTTTAGGTAAAATTTTATGTTGTGCAAACTATTATCTGATGCTATTTCCATTTCGGACTGGGATTTTATTAGCCATTCGCAAAGACAATCAACGTTTACAATTTAAGAGATTCAACAATAAGAATACTTATTTTTTTTACCTCTATTATAATTTTGAGAACAATGCTTCATAGTAAGATTTTATTTAAACTTAATTTTAAGAAAAATATTTGAAGAACATATTATAAAAATTTGCCTTTAGTATTCGCTAAATGTTCAAATTCCGTTTTTTTTTTCTCTTTAATTTTGAGTTCTAAAATAAATATACATTCCGGACCAAAATCGGTTGAATTATTTTTAAAGTTAGAAAAAAACGAGGCCGTTTTAATCTGTAATATTTATAACAAATGGGACGCCTATTTTTCTTGTCAATGAGACAAAAAAATAAGTACTGCTAATATTAAATTACCGTTTTTCCTTTAGATGAATTAGGATCAAAGGGAGATTACAAGTAGCTTTAAATTTTTGTAAATTTTCAAATCATAGTTATGAAACAGCTATTACCCCTTAAATATCTTTAAAAGGTGTATTTTATTCAAGAAAAATTAATCTTATAACTTTAAATACGATGAAGTAAACAATTTTTCAACAAACAGTTGCAGGCACATTTTTGCAATCATTTTTAAGCATTTAAATCAAAACGAATTTTGTTGTTTCGATGATAAAAAAAAAAATTTTTTTTTTCGAAGGAAATGTCTGTTTTAAATATATTTTCAGATTTTCCGTAAACTTTTATACTTAAAGAAAATGTTGTTGCTACTTATACTCTTTCATTTTGTTTCATAACCATCGTTGATTCTGAGTTTACGGCTACTAATGCTCAACTCCGTATATTTGTAATTTTCAACCCAATTCATAAGACAAGGGAACTCCTGGATCAAGTATTGGGAGAAATTTGCCCTCGTGGAGGACTTTTTGATTGAACTCACCAGCATTTGCGTTGTATGGTGAGGTAAAGCATGAAAGCCTCCGATGGTTAACCTGACGGCAAGGGTACTCTAATCCATGATCCGTCTACCATGGAGGATATTTTACGTCAGCACTGTGGTCGGTGCGAGCCAGGTGTGGAATTCATATTTACTACCTGGGATTCGAAACCAGTTCACCTCATTGGAAGGAAAACGTTCTATTCCCTGAGCCACCACGGCTCTATGTGTCGGTATTGAAGCATTTTGGGCATTATAATAATAAACAACCTTTTTAAAGCTTTCAGGAGAGCTTTTTTTAAGAAATGTTTTTGTTGAAAAACACGAAACTTTCATGATGGCTATAAGATGTTTATGTGAGCTGTGCTATTCCAGAAGTTTGTATGTAGTTATATGATCACGGTTCATGGAATGAAGATCACAGTTTTCTCAGTGGTGCCATCTATTGCCAAGAATACGACTTCAGCCACACATGCCACAACCCGTTTTACAGGAAGAGCCCATTCATACCTCCATTTATCATCCCCAGAGCAACGGGTGGATCTATTCATACATCGTAATTTAAACCTTAACCAGAGTACGATCGATCTCCTATTCAGTATCCCAGAGACATTGTTTTGCTATGGGAACTTGGAGGACTTTGTGACCCCAACGGTTTTAGCTTTCACTGATCACCGCTTAATACACAGGGTTTCTACCAGTCACCATTTAATACACGGATAAAGCGAGATTCGAACTCACGTCTTCACGAACACGAGCCCATTGCCCTACCAATCAGGCTTTCCCTGCCTTTAAAGAAAATTTCATTTCATAGCCAAAAATATATAAATTTTAAAAAAAAACAGCTATTATTTCTTATTCTCAATGTCTCATTTAAATTGAAAATTTGACTGGATTCACAAATTATATACTTTTAGTATTTAACTTACGAGTACGGAGCAAAGTAAATATAGATAAAATTTAATAAATTTAGTGTTTGATTTATCGCATTATGTACCAACCTTCCACACATCACATATTTGTAAAAAAATATATTTAATTACCAACATTCATTTCGGTACAGTTTGATTAGGTAATTAAAAGAAGAATTCACATATTATCATTACAGTAAATCGAAAAAGATGCTTTGGTCTGTGAAAATATAATTACAGATGAGCCTAGATTGCCCGAAGTAATTGGGATCGAAGTAATTGCATTCCTTTAGTCGAAAGAGCGTTTTTATTTATTCTGTGAAACTCGTGTACAGTTGAATTAGGACAGAATATTATTGAAATTTAGAAAAAATAATAATAAAGCGCATGTGTGAAAAAAATATACTTTTGAATTGAATCAGTTAGAGTACCTTTAGATACCTTTGAATCGAATTATTAGTATTCGATTAAAATGTGCTTAGATAATAGGAATTCTACTTTAAAAAAATGGAACCGACTAATTCTAAATTGCATTCAATTGGATCCAAATGTTACTTCGAAATCAAAATGAATCTAAAACACATATCTAGCACATGAAATTATACACAATTCACTGTATAATATTAAGTTATTAAATACATAAATAAAGGCCAATTTCTAGAATTCAATTGTTACTTTATGATCCGTCATTGATGCTTTTACACTGATGAACTCACGAAAATTGTATTAAAAAGTTTATTATATTTAATTAGTTTTATCTTATTAAATTATTAAATCTTATTAATATTAGATTTAATTATCTTTATTTATTTTTGACTGTCAATAATTACAAAAGTATTGTCAAAATAAAATCTTCTGTACTAAACAATTCATAATTCTGTTCACGAAAAATCACTAATCCAACAAAAAAGTGCCAATAAATCCCTTTTCCCTAACTTACGTTCAATTTCTTCATTCATGATAGCAGGAGACATTATAATCAGTCCTGAATACGATACAGCAGTACCCAAACTAGAAATTAAATAAAATACAGACAATCAGTTTGCATGCTTAATAAAATTTAATTAAGCTAACAATTTTACAATTGTTGTTGTGTCATATTGTTACTTACTGTTGTTGCTTGCCAATAACAGTAAGCTTCCTTGAAATCAAGCGAATTTTTGAGGCAGAGGGAACGTTTCTTGTTTTTTCAGTGGTGCCATCTATGACCAGGAATATGACTTCAAATACCCACATGTCAAAGCCAGTTTTACAGAGACGACCCAATCATACTTCATTCATTTTCATCCACAGATCATAATTTTGACATAAACCAGAGAACAATCAATCTCGAATTCAGAATCCCCAGAGGTATTAATTTGTTATGGGAACTTAGAGGACTTTGTGACTCCGACAGATTTAACGTGCACCAGTCACCATTTAATACACTGGGGTTCTTCGGCTGGCAGGATTCAAACTCACGTTCTCACGAACACGAACCCAACTTCCAACCAACCAAGCTGTCCCATCCCTATTTCACACTTTGTTTTTATTAGTAGATCTGGCATTAGTTCTAATTTAAAGAAATATTTTAAATTTCCGTCTCAAAAACGGACATTTATAGGCAGGTTATTAGATCCGCTTGCCTATCTTAGTATATTTATATAAACTTACTCGAACATGGCCATATGGCCAAGCCATTTCTCCATTTTTCAAGACCCTTACTTTTTCATGTCATGACAAGAATGTAAAGTTAAAAGACGAAATTGGCGCCTTGTCTTCCAACAAAAGCATGAATTTCGAAGTGCTCATCGCATAGCGACGATTGTATTACGGAGGAGCTACAATTACAATAATTGAGTCTTTTTTTTTTTAATTTCTAGCTTACATGAATGTATAATGTGCCATATTTCCTTCTATTACAGTCATTTGAATTAACCTTCTACAATTTAATTTCAAAGCGAGAAAAACGCGTTAATCTCAGTTAATCTTGTCCATAGTACAACAGTTCGCTTCTCTTTCTTGTTTCTCTTTGCGAAATTTTGGTTATCTTAACGTAGTTAATAAAATAAATATGTAACGCAAAAAAGTAATTTAATTAATTTAAACCCTCAGCAAAAAGTAATTAGAATTATCATAACAACAAAAAGCACAATTTTTTAAAAACATTTGTGGCTAAAAATTATCATTTTTAAATGTACCAAATTAAGACCTTATAAATTTTTATCCGATTAGCAAAGCTCAAAATGCATGTAATTTCAAAATTTTAATTTTTAAACAAATTTGTTTCATTTTCAAATTTCTTTATTGTGTCATTACCCACGAGTACACATCAGTGTAAAATTTTAAAAAATCTAGTACGCTGTGAATAAGGTTAAAAATCTATCGACGATGTCTTTAACATACATTCCTATTGTTTGATTGAAAACTTCATTCACTTCAAAAATAAACAAATAAGAAATATTTAAAAAATGAACAAATAATTTAAATATTACGTAATTATTTCTAAAAAGAATGAAGTTTTCAATCAAGAAATATCTTACCGCTTCAACTTCTCAGGATTTTATTTAATATGTTTCTGTTATTAGCCCATAAAACCTGAATTTTGTTAGCATACCGTGACGTAAAAAAAGCTCCTATTAAAAAGTTATTATTTTTTACTGAATGAAAAATGTACATCTGGTAACTATTTTCCAAAATGATAAATAACATTTGATTGATGTGAAAACAGTCATTTTTCACATCAGAATAATTCCCATAGAATTCTTACCATTCCCGTGAAGTATGAGTCACGCTGCGTAAAAATGGATTAATTACATTTTAATAACATGCTTTTATTGAATTTCAGTATCTAATGAAATTTAATATTAAAACCACATATTGTCCTGCTCAAATTAATAGTTTTATTTGCTCAAAAACTTTCAATGATGTGTAGATAAGTCATAAATTAACTAAATAAATAGCAAATTAAACTGCAAAAATCATTCTTACCCTATGAAACAAAATAACAATGTGGATTTTAACAAGCTTCTGCGAAAAAGGTAACCAAATCGTCCTCTTTTTTTCCAATCAATGGCTGACTCCAGTACTCCGTTAGGCAAATTCTGTTTGTTTTCTTCCACCATCTCTTCCATAATCACATTGGCAGCTGTGTCTTGATTACTTATAAGCAGATATCGTATACTCTCTGGAAAAAACTACGAACTGTTCAATATAGGATACTAATTTATGAAAATTTATATACACTATAGAAACTATAGAAACTGTGGTGTAAAACCACTCCGAATTTTGTGTGAAACAGCTTAAAAAAATCTATGAAAAAACACTTCATTTTAAGTTAACACCAAATCGAATGCTCATATGTACTTTAAAGAATGTAGTTAAGCCTAAACACCAAAAATGGAAAATGGTTGCACCAAAGAAATGCGTCCCACAGTGGACTGATCCTAAATGCACGGTTCTCAGTAGAACACTCATGTCATCAAAGTCAAGCATCACTGGCTGCAGTCAGTAAGCGGGTGGGTGACTACTTTGACCAGCCTGCGTAGGGACCGAGGATACGCGATATCGTTAAGCTGTTCTACCGTTAAGTGCTCGACTTCGCGCGCAAGTCGTCAGCTACCAAAGCAGGAGAGCCATCCCCTTTGCAGAGGTTCAAAATTCCGATGGCATGCCTTCGGATCATCCTCAAGGACCGTCGCCAATAACCCATATTGTGCAGTTCTAGTGCGACGTAAATGATGCAACTGCCTACCTATGCATAAACCCATTCACACCATTAATGAATTACTTTCGCTTCCAAAAATGCCAATTTTGGATATTGAACTTTGGATTTCGTCACCGCATTCTTTACAACTGAGTACGAAATTACTTGAATTTGTTGTTGTCTTGCACGCTACTTTACATCTACAGAAAATAAAGCCTGCCGTTATAAAATGCATGCATGTTTTTAACTGTGTAATAAGAATAATTATATTTTAATTCATTAAATATCTGCAAATTTTATTGAATAATTTATAATATTTCATTTATGTATACTTCTGTTCTGTTAAGCCTAAGTCAAATTTTTTTTAATGCTCTGTGTCATGAATATGCTTGATTTACAAACAAATTTTAATTTAATAATTATTGTTCGTATACATCATAAATTGGCTGTTCATACTTTAAATTGTATTGTAAAAATAATTTAACTCGTATGCGTTTGAAATCTTACTGTTATTTGAAATTTTAGAATTATTGAACACCGAAAATAGGGCTAAATTCTTTACATTACATGTGGTTTACTGCGGCCACTTTTGGAGTAAAGTATTTGCCCCCATTTTTTTGTGTTAAGATATGCAAAAGTTTTTACGGTGCATGTACTATTTGTATTTATAAACCACAGTAAAAGAAGTTGGAAGTTCCGCTGCCCAGAAGTCGCCAAGACGAGGCGATTATTCTGCCACAGATCACGCTGTGTAAAGCTCCCCATTTTATTTCTCACTTTGACCAGAAAAAGTGATTATTACTAATTTTGACCGATAAATATTAATAATAACCGGATTACCACCTTAACCGTAACACATAAAGAGACACACCCATGTCTCAATGCTATATAAACCATTTACTCACATTGTCCAAACTTCATTGGTTATTATTAATAATAACCGGTTAAAGTGCATAATTTTCTATGTTTCTCACTTTGACCAGAAGTCTTATTAGAATTTGTTATTAATATTGACCTGTTGTTATTAATAATAACCGGATTTATTACTTTAACCGTAAAATAAACATATTATTGACGATATCTAAAGTGTATCAACGTTAGTGTTTTTTCGGAAGCGAAAATAACTATTGTATAGTGTAAATGTGAAGTGAGTTTGATGCAATTTTTTTCCACTTTAAATGTAAGAATTTTTATCACTGATACATTGTACAAAAATATCATAGGTATTGACGCGTAATAATGAATCTAATATATTCTACTGTCGATACACTTTTCCTCGACTTTTGATCATTATCGACACGTGGATGTCCAAGCCAGAGGCTGAACTTTATCATTTCACCATTACCATTTAATCAATCGCCGTAATAACGTGGTTGTTGGCATCTAGTTGTTTATGCTTATTTACATTGAAATAAAATTTATTCCAATANTTATTTAAAAAATAAAAAAAATGTTTAAATATTACGTAATTATTTCTGAAGAGAATGAAGTTTTCAATCAAGTAATATCTTATCGCTTCAGTTTGTTATTAACCCATTAAAACCTGAATTTTTTTATATTCCGTGACGTAAAAAAAGCTCCTATTAAAAAGTTATTATTTTTTAACTTAATGTATACAAGTGATTATTTTTTAACTAAATGTAAAATGTGCATCTGGTAGCTATTTTCCAGAATAATAAATAACATTTGATTGATGTGTAAACAGTCATTTTTCACATCAGAATAATTCCCATAGAATTCTTACCATTCCCCGTTAAGTATGAGTCACGCTGCGTAAAAATGGGTTAATTACATTTTAATAACATGCTTTTATTGAATTTCAGTACCTAATGAAATTTAATAAAAGCTTAAAGTAGAAATTAAATAATTACTTCACCGAAATATTTTCATGTACTATTACCTGTCTAAATGTAAAATACCATTGATTTATAGACATGCAGTGAAACAGTTCAAAAAAATTTATAATACCACATATTTCCGTTTCAAAATTTACACTTCCGAGTTCTCAACACTTATAAAAAATATTTCGATTCGCCACTGAATTTAGAAATTATTTTTAATGGTCCTGCTCAAATTAATAGTTTAATTTGCTTAAAAACTTTCAATGATGTGTAGATAAGTCGTAAATTAATTAAATAAATAGCAAATTAAACTACAAAAATCGTTCTTACCCAATGAAACAAAATAACAATGTAGATTTTAACAAGCTTCTGCGGAAAAGGTAACCAAATCGTCCTCTTTTTTTCCAATCAATGGCTGACTCCAGCACTCCATTAGGCAGATTCTGTTTGTTTTCTTCCACCATCTCTTCCATAATCACATTGGCAGCTGTGTCTTGATTACTTATAAGCAGATATCGTATACTCTCTGGAAAAAACTACGAACTGTTCAATATAGGATACTAATTTATGAAAATTCATATACACCATAGAAACTGTGGTGTAACACCACTCCGAATTTCGTGTGAAACAGCTTAAAAAAATCTTTGAAGAAGCACTTCATTTTAAGTTAACACCAAATCGAATATTCATATGTACTTTGAAGCGTGTAGTTAAGCCTAAACACAAAAAATGGCAGGACTTGCACCAAAGAAATGAGTCCCACGGTGGACTGATCCTTAAGACACGATTCCCTGCTGAACACTCATGTCATCAAAGTCAAGCATCACTGGCTGCAGTCAGTAAGTGGGTGGGTGACTCTTTGATCAGCCTGATCAGCGGCCGAGGATACGCGATATCGTTAAACTGTTAAGTGCATGACTTCGCGCGCAGGTCGTCGGCTACCAAAGCAGGAGAGCCATTCCCTTTGCAGAGGTTCAGAATTCCGATGACATGCCTTCGGATCATCCTCAAGGATATTTCCCAGACCGTCGCCAATAACCCATTGTGCAGCTCTAGTGCGACGTAAATGCTGTAACTACGTACCTACTAAAGAAATACATATACCCATTCACACCTTTAATGAATTACTTTCGCTTCCAAAAATGCCAATTTTGGATATTGAACTTTGGATTTTGTCAGCGCATTCCTTACAACTGAGTACGAAATGACGTGAATTTGTTGTTGTCTTGCACGCTGCTTTACATCTACAGAAAATAAAGCCTGCCGTTATAAAATGTATGCATGTTTTTAATTGTGTTATATGAATAATTATATTTTAATTCATTAAATATCTGTAAATTGTATTATATAATTTTATAATATTTCATTTATATATACTTCTGCTCTGTTAAGCTTAAGTCGAATTTGTTTTAATGTTCTGTATCATGAATATATTTGATTTGCAAACAAATTTTAATTAAATAATCATTGTGTGTATACATCCTAAATTGGCTGCTCATACTTTAAATTGTATTGTAAAAATAACTTAGCTCGTATGCTTTTCAAATCTTATTGTTATTTAAAATTTTAGAATTATTGAACACCGAAAATGGGGCCATATTCTTTACATTACAGGTGGCTTACTACGGCCACTTTTGGAGTAAAGTAGTTACCCCCATTTTTTGTGTTAAGATTTACACAAAAATTTTACGGTATATGTACTATTAGAGTAAAAGAAGTTGGAAGTTCCGCTGCCCAGAAGTCGCTAAGACATGGCGATTATTCTGCCATAGATCACGCTATGTAAAGCTCCCCTTTTAATTTCTCACTTTGACCAGAAAAAGTGATTATTATTAATTTTGACTGGTAAATATTAATAATAACCGGATTACCACCTTAACCGTATCACATAAAGAGGCACACCCATGTCTCAATGCTATATAAACCATTTAATCACATTGTCCAAACCTCATTGGTTATTATTAATAATAACCGGTTAAAGTGAATAATTTTCAATATTTCTCCCTTTGATCAGAAGAAGCTGTTGTTATTAATATTGACCAGTTACTATTAATAATAACCGGATTAATTACTTTAACCGTAAATTAAACATATTATTGGCGATATCTAAAGTGTATCAACGTTAGTGTTTTCGGAAGCGAAAATAACTATTGTATAGTGTGAATGTGAGTGAATTCAATGCAATTTTTTTCCACTTTAAAAGTATTTAGATTTAACTACACCCATTATATTGTATATAAAAACTCTATTTGATGTTAACTTGAAATGGTGAAATAAGGCAGTTCAGCCAGAGGCTGAACTGTATCATTTCACCATTATAATTTAAACAATTGCCGTAATAAAGTGGTTGTTGGCATCTAGTTGTTTATGTTAATTTACATTGAAATGAAATTTATTCCAATAGATTGCTTCTAGTAACTGATTGATCCTTGATGAATTTTCAGTAGATAGATAAGAAAAGTGAAGTTTAGATATCTGCTTTGTTTTCTGTAATTTTTGCTACCTATAACCTCAGAACAAACCTTATGACAAGCTATTCTCAGCTGGCACTATCATGAATTTTTACTCGAGAATTTAGTGCTCCACAGCACTTTACTGAATGATGTAATAATTGCTATCGGAGCTGTTACGTCATTCGAGGTACATACATGTTGATGTCAAAGATATTTATTTTTCCTTTATATTGCGAAGACACAAACTTGACTTTGCTTTTTTTAACTTCGTATTTTTCTTTTAAAGAAATCAATTAAAACAATAATAAACCCTGGATGGGAGTAACTCTTACTTTCATCAAGAGCATTGTTATGCAAGCTGGTAAAGAAGAAATAGCAACAAATGTCCTCCAGTTCTGGGGTGGTTCCGAGGCCGAATACAACAAAGCTATCATACCGATTATTCCGACTGCCCAGAACACCTGAGATAAAATGAAGAAAAAAATGACGAAATTAACAAATTTGAAATAAAAATCTCGTCTTCAAATTCTGCACAATGATGATGCCGTAACAAGAGCTGTAATCGTATCATGAACATGATGCTCCACAATACAACCAACATTAGAAATATATAGCGTCAATCTGACCCAAACTATCATTGAAAATGTTTATTGCGCAAACTGAGAATACATTTTTTAGCTCAACCTCAAGAGTTACCTCGTAATCGCATACCAGAACAAACCTCAATTAACCTCAGCTACTTTTCGTCTGCTCTAGATTTAAATCACGCATGCGTAATTTTCATTTACTCAACATAGTTTCAGATCCCATGTTTATTCTTTATTTTAATCCTCTTTCATACTTTATTTCCACAATGAATTTGTTGGACAAATTTCTTTATTTAAGTGTATACACAAGCGACAGTATTCTGAATTGAATACTCTTTGTATGTAAAAATATGGGGAAAAGGACTATAAACCTTTTCAATGATAGATAGTGTCAGAATTGTACAATACTTAGGAAATTCGTAAAGACTTTTTGGTGTTTCACAACATTCTGGTGAAAATGTTTATCGTTAAGTTAGAGGAAAAATCTGTAAATTGATTTTAAAAACAAGCGCTATTGTTTATGGTTACTAAATGAATTCTATTATACACGGTAATGGTAAGAAATCTGGTTCTGATAAGTTCTACAAAAAGAGTGCCAAATTTATTTTTGCGTAAGCTTAAATTAGAAATTTAAGCTCATTTTTGTCATTCTAATATATTGCTTTAAATAAATTCTGTTATTATTAACTGACAATCAGAATTAAAAAAATCACAGAAGATTAAACTACAGTTAAATAGATTAGTCTAAAGCAATTGATGCTGCTGCTTTTTTTGTAAAAAACAAAAGAATTTTTTTAAAGCAAACTTTATCATCAATATCAATAAATCAGTGGTTTTGAAACGTGCAAGTCTTCAATTTGGGTCTAATGAAAATGACTTCATCACAAAACAACAAATTCAGTTCGGTTTGACTTTGTATTTTGTGCTATATTCCGTTGCAAGTTAAGAAAAGACCATTGCGGTATAGGATTTAAGTAATCATCCACGACTACATGTAGCTTCGTTTTATTTAACTATCAAATTATATAATTATGCTTTCAAAACAATATAAAAACCTTTAATAGTTAACTCCTCAGACAGAAATTTAATTCGTACTATCTTTTACGATATACATCATAGAATTATTGAAAACGGGTTAAGGTTTCATAGTCTTACTAGAATCCTAGATTTGGCGACTTTCGATAAATAAGGAAAACATTGTTCTTCAAAAAGAAACAACTATATGACGCTGCAAGAACATTGGATTTCATTGAACCACTAAAAATAGCACTTCTTATGCTGGCATGTCTTTAACAAATCGAATGCGTCATAAAGAATTTTTACTTTTGTTTCGCTGTGGAACAAAATTGTCTGCAAAAAACAATACTTATTATTCTTTGATCAGTTTCTTAAAATGCCAACAGAAAGGTGTATATTTCTTACGATTTTTAGATACAATTTTGTTAATTCTTATTACTTTCTAATTTTTAATATTCAATAAGTTTTGTTTTCCCCGTTTCACATGATTTTAGAGAGAAAGCAAAAAAAAAAAAAAANAAAAAAAAAAAAAAGGTTGTGCAACGTCGTTTCAAAAGTTGGCGTTGTTGATATTCGTTCGCGTTGGGAACTTGGCATCCATTTAGCCTGCACTCATGCACTTAGATGGAAACAGGCTCTCTCCATATGGATAATGATTTTTTTCTTAACTTGCAACAGAGTATAGTGCATGATCATAATATTTGAATCAGATTTAATTTTCTGATAACAGTATGAATAATGTTTTGGTTACTCAAAACAATAAATATATCTATATATATTAAATTTAACAAAGAAATGGATTTAGTTAGTTTAAAAGTTCATTGAGTTTTGCATAAAATCACTTACAGACAGAATAAATACAGCCCGACCTCTCTTACCACCTGGAGTAAATTCACTTACAAGCACCAGCCTACAATACAAGGAAAAATTAATTATAAAATCGTTTAATTCACATTCAATAAATATTCATTACGTGCACACTTATTACATAATTGGAAGTATGTGAACTTCTTTAAATTTCCATAATTGTCCACGTTTTCCATATTATAAAAAATAAGCATTATACACTTGTTGTTTCTGTATTGACAATGCAAAAATATTTCTAATGCTCCCTGATTAGTATGTAGTAGAGATTCGTCCTGTTCATTATTTTTCTGTAAAATTTGTAAACAGAATGATTGATCACTGGGATAATTTAAGTATGATTAAATTTTTTGAAATAAATTGCAAGATACGAAATGAAGAATTATTTAAAATCTTATTTTGTAAAAATAATTTAATAAATTTTTTTTCTATATGCAGATTTTACAATAGTTTTGACGACAATTCTAACGACTTTGATATTTTTAATATGATTTTAACTATTTTTAAACAATTATGTCTAAATGTTTTAGTTTTGCAATTTTCTTTTTTTTTTCCTTATTGTACACCACTATAACTGGTTTTTTATCTGTAATTCGTGTTTAAATTATAAAACTAAAAAAAATTGTATAAAGAATAACAATAATAAAATAAATATAAGACAGATGCCTACGTTGTAACAACTAATTGTTAATTAATTTTTTTCGTGTCTCGAATCTGAAATAGTGGCTATTTTTAAAACATTTTTAATAGTTTTTTTCCCACTTAGCTGCACCATCTGTTGACGAACTTGATAACTACCAGTGATTTTTAGTGATAATAAATTAAATTTTTTCCTTAACAGTATATATAACATATTTATTCATTTTTTCATATTTCATTGTTTCTTTTGTTTCAATTCCTTTTGGATTTTCAGCTGCTTAGCACTTTTTACAACTGGAAGTATTATCTTTAATTGCTTTAAATATTTTGAATTTTTTCTTTAGCAGTACTCAGAGATCTTTACATGTCTTTATTTTTTCGTTTCCCTTAAATTAATTTTTAAAATTGCTGGTCATTTTTTGTATACCATTAAAAATGTAGTTGCGATAGGCTGACTTTAAAAACCGCCATTTCTAGTTTGCGAAGATAAAAACTTATTTCAGCAATACTCACTAAAGCCTGTGCAAATCTGAGTTTTAAAAAAAATAAGCTCGAAAACCGCAATTACATTTTCGCTAAAAAAATTTTGCTACTCATATACAATAATCTTTGATGTGTAATTGCTATTTAATTTAAATTAAAGTAATCAATTCATCATTTACAGCTAATTTATTTATGAATAAGTAAAGAAAAGGAAAATTTCCGTATCGCAATCTGTGGCAAAATAATCACTATGTCTTGGCACCTTCCGGGCAGTGGCCCGCGAGAAACTGGGAAAAAGTCTCAGAAGAGTACAACCTAAACGAGAGAAAAATATACTGCAGTGTTTGCATACTATTAAGTTGCATCAAACTGAACAAATTCAATTTTTAAAAAATTTCCTACGTTCCTTCACTTTAAGATATTTAATTATGATTATACATACTAGCCATTTCAAACTAAATAGGAACTTCAACAATATCAGTTCTAACAAAAGCAAAGCAGTACTATACGTGTTTTTTTTCTTTCCCCAAACTGCACAGAATTAAATATCTAAACTCTACTTTAACTCACGCCTGTGGAAGACCTCCTGCAGCAAACGCACACACCATTCGGAATATGACGTACCACGTGTAGCTTGGCAAACCTGAAGACACAGCTCCAAATACAAAGAAGAATATCAGAGTCGATGACAGTGCCTTTTTTTCATGAAAAAAAAAAACAATGCAACATTTCAATTTGAATAAAGCTTTTGTTTTATCATATCAATTATTTGAAGCAGAAAAATTAACACTTACAGCTCGCCTACCGTATCTGTCGGACCAGATGCCGTATAAAATGCATCCAAGAGCTGATGACAACTGTGAACCCTTTAAAGATTTAAAAAATGTCTTTATATAGAATATAAATAGAATGAATAAATAGATAATGAATATGATAAAGACGATGTAAAAATGCATTTATTAAAAAAATTGAAGGCGATTAAAATCTATTTTCATCAAATTTCAGAATTAGTTCCTTAGTTCATAACCATATGATAACGATAAAACCCATAAAATAGCGTTTTCTACTTTTTGTAAAACTATTTCAATTAAAATAATTAAACGACCATCTGTTGATTTTGCCCTAGAACAACGCCATGTTGTTGTTAGAAACAGTGATCATTTTAAAAACATAAAATTTTTATTAATCAACAGCGTAATCTGTTGACGATCTTTGTTGTAATTTTAGAACTTGATGAAAAATATCCTGTTTCCTAACCAGGAAGCATCAAGTCATACATTTCTATCTTCTACCGTTTCTCTTTAATTGAGTTTTCAAATCGTTGGTCATTTTTCGGACATCCAAGATGAACAGTACGCAATTTACAATGTCTTATAATGAAATATTTGAATTATTTTAGAACCTCAATTACTTATATAATTACTAGTGTTGAACTTTATATAATTCTTTTGGCAAAATCTTTTGCACCCTTGCCTCTTAGTTAAACACCACAGACAAAATATATTTTATCCTAACATTGCTAAGGTAAATATTACTAGGATAAAATGTTCGTAATTGAATATAGTAAAAAAAAAATACGCAATATGGCACGATTAAAAGGCGACCATTGATGCCAATCTAAGAACTACTAGCTGTCATTCGAAAAGACAATTGTTAAAATTGACTCGATAGTTATAGCTAAACTTGACTAGTTAGTTATAGCTAAAATTGACTAGTTGGTTATAACTAAAATTTCCCAGTTAGTAATAACTAGCAAACTTTTCAAATTTTTAACTCAAGCATTTTTCTTAAATTCTATCAATTTTAATTTTTAACTATTAATTTCTGAAATGTATCCCACACAGTTAGAATAAGTAAAAAATCTTTCGTGATTTTCGCTGAAGTGAAGTTTCGACTTAAATCCTTTTGATCCTAATTAATATTTCTCTCCGAAAAATTTTGGAATTTATATACACGTTCATGCTCAAAATACAATTCTAAAGATTGGCCAAAACAGCTTGTTTAGTTCGCTTATTTCGTTCCTTTTTATCCATTCAAATGCCTAAAAGAATTGGTTAAAGAAAAACATTTTCAAATGAAAAAAGTTATATGATTTTTAAATGAGACTTTGACTGATAGGAAACATTAACAACAAAGGACGTGGATATTATTGTACAAAAATCAACTCAAATCATTAACAAATATTATGCTTATAAAAAACTTTGTACAGCTATTTCTAAAAGAGTTCAATTATATAAAATCTTGCCATTATAATAAATGTTTAAAAAAAACTATGATAAATTATCTTAAAATCAGTGAAGTTAATAATTTGGCCCTATTTACCGTCACTATAACAGCAGCCTGCCATCTTTCCAATTTCCAATCGCATGAAAGTAAAGGTCCAATAAAACTTACAAGGACTTCATCAACACCTCTAGCCATCTGGATTTAAAAATAAATAACGTTACATTTTGATGTAAACTCATATTCCATCAAACTGCAAACAAAATGTAAATCAAAATGAAATAATAGTTTTTCATTCAAAATTATATTAACCTAGAACAATAATTAACCATGTTATTTATCAAGGGGAGTCTGCCGACAGTCTAACACTTAAATGCCAATATTCTGACTTCCCATTTTTATAAAATAACTGAGCAGTCGGCATTTTTACGTGAAATATTATAAAATTTTTGTCAGGAATCCATCGTTTCTAGAGATGACGGATATATCTTGAAATAGCGATGTTTTTAATTATCTCGATAGTGACAAAGATCACGCTAGATCGTTAATATAATAAATATCGATACACGATAACTGTCGAAAAATATTGAGAGATATGAATATCGACGCATGTTAAATGGTAATCGTAATACAAAAGATAATAATCGACACTCGATAAAAACCGGAAAATATCGACACTCGATAAAAACCGAAAAATATCGACACTCGATAAATATTGACCATATCGTGATCCAATGAGTAAAAACACAAAAACCATTTACCAATCTTCTTTAACTCTTAATTTATTTGTGCAATTTATAATTACTTGGCCATTTTTAAATTACTCAAAGAGTCAAAGAAAAATGCATCTTTTTTTTCCTCCATTTGAGCGAGAAAACATTGTCCAATATAAAAAATATGTAAATTAGTTACAATTAAAGTATCGCGATATATCGTAAGAAATCAATATTTTCTTTTGGTATAACACAATATTAAATATACTGATATCGCCAAACAATCGCCAATTCCATGTGTATTCGTAGAGCTTTGTTATTATTTTATTTTGATTCGACATTCAGTTGGACTAATGTATGCCAATTATACATTAGTGTAAAAACATATATTAAACTTACTATATTGACCTTCAAATTTCATTCACTTAAAATTATTTAAAATGATTTTTTTACTAATATCTTCTCTAATCATCTAAGATAAGAGTATAAATTATTGAGGATTATGAAAAGTTTTGCCTTACCCATATGAAACCCGTAAACACTATCAATTTAGCTTGAAAAACTCCTAAATAACCTGATCCATTTATGGCCTCTTCCGCTGTAAAAATTTCATCTGAAACTAAAAATGTGTTACGTAATTATAATAAGTAAACCAAATGACTACATAATCTAAAAACATGTTGAAAAATCGATTAAAGAAACACACTTTAAGAAATTTACGAAACAATTAAACTCAATATGTCTCATATTTGCCTAATATGTTTTTCTGGATTTCCACCTAACAATTATCTGATATTATTAATAAACAGTGGAGTTAGCAGAGATAAATTCAGAAAAGGAAAGACACTCATAAAAATTAATAGCTGCAGAATCATAACAAATTGACAGATAAAGAGAAGGGAATTGTAAAATGTTAAGTTTATTTATTTACTTTTATGAAATTTTAAAGGAAAAGAAAGATTTTTTTCACATCAAAAAGTTTTTTTTTTCCTTTTTCTATAGCGATAAAAAGTTTAAAGTATATTTTTTTCGCATTAGTGATAAATTATCCTAGTGTCTATCATTGTTACAATTTAAATACATTTGATTCAAAACTTGATTATCAAAAACAAAAATCATGATTTCCCGACAGCAATTAAACAAAGTTATCACAAATTCTGAACTTTCGTATTCAAAACTAACATTTACTTTATTCTTTTAAGCTAAATACCTTAAATTTTGATTTATATTTTCGAATTCTTTTTTTATTTTCTAATACCCTTCAAAAAGGAAATTATTCGAATTTACATGAACGAAATAGCTCTATTTTTAAAGTAACTAAATAATATTTTCAAATATTTTCATTTAAATCAGTGAAATGTGTTCGATATGATGCTTAGTTACAAAATTTGAAAGTTTAAATTTATAAGCTTGATACTTATTCGCAATCCAGGGATCGTAAAAATCTTTTTCTATATTTATGCTTGTATATCAGACACTAATTACCACAATACCAGTTGTACCTATTTCATATATAATTAAGCATCATTAAAAACACCAGTAAGGCAAAAGTTTTACAATTAAAGCATAAGTAAGGCTAATTTTTACGACCATCCCCGAAACCTAATCAAAGTATCGCATTTTTTAAACATTTTTTTATTGTTTTAAAATATTTATAGATATAAAATTTGATATTTGTAAAACTTGAAATTTGTCATTTCAATGAATTAAATGAAACGAAAAATATTAATTTTTTCTATTTCTTAAATTAAAACATAATTGAGTTCGTATAATTTTCCAGAGGTTAACACAATTGGCGTAGAGAATCACTTTTCTGTCAGAGCACCCAAATAATTTAACAAGGCCCAAACTTTTTACTCCTAGCAATTTTTTGTGACCTAATCAAAAAGGATGTTCTCTAAAATTTTCAGAAGAGTTCCTTTAAGTATTTATTTCATACTTCAGAGCAATTTACAGTTTCAATTTCGAAGTCTGTATTAGAGTTATTCCATCTTTTACGAATGTCGTACGTGCGGACTTTATTTGTAATTAAGGAAAAAAAAGTGGGGAAAAATTCAAGCAGTTCCAGCAATTTTTGTTCAAATAACTCTTGGGGTCATTTATGCTTACCCCTATTTATATTGACTTTTAGTATTTTAAAATTTAAAAAAAAATTTATAAATTCGAGTTACGGGCATAACATATTATTACGCTGTCCATATCACATAGTTTTTAATTTTTGAACCTATGAAAGTTCGAAAAAGTAAAAGCTACTGCAAATGACATTAATTTTAGCAAAAATTATTAAAATTGCTTAATATTTTTTAACTAATTCATTCACTTTTAAACTCTGCAAATATTAAGTACTTAAATAGTGAAATTTCTCTTTAGTTACTTGACAATATACTAATCATCAATTAGTACTTTGAGTTTTTAAAAAAAAACATACCTTCTATATGATTACTTGAATCCCTACTTTCAATGCAGAGTACACTTCGATCCGTTGAAAATGAGAGGTTTTTAATTTTCTTACCTTGCTTCGCCATTTTGAAATCATAACTCTAATTAGAGCTAAACATCCTCCATCGTTTACTTTCTTTTTATGAGACTGACATTTATCTTACAAGCCAAATCCCAATATTAAAACGCTTAGAATAAACATCCCGAATTCGTCACGACTCTTTACGTATACTGTTCATTGTTTCCAAGCGATGAAATCAAAATTGGCTATTCTTTTTTGGAAACACGATTTATAGAATTACAATATCAAGCGATGCCACTGTGAAGTCAAAATTCTTTTGTCTGCTTTAAGCTCATATTTATGAAAACCTGCATATTATCTTGAAAGTTTCGACCAGCTTCGAAATCTTCATGACTTCAATTTTTCCGTTATATTTATTTCACGTGCAAGAAATGTCATTTTCACAAAATACAGAAAAAAATTAAGTCCATTGTTACCTATACAATATACAATTTGTATAAATTTATATTCATAGTAACTATATAAATGCAATTTCTGTTTCAAATTGAAATTTATCATTAAATATATAATACTGTATTGACAATATTAACGATTTTAATGTTGAAATTAAAATACTGATAACGATTAAGCATTGAAATTTATAATGATCTTTTCAACGCTTAATTTAATGTAACTTGTAACTATTCTTTTTACCCCTTCTGGATATTGTACTGAGTTACATTATTAGGAGTTAAATAAATTAAATTATTGAGCTTTTGGAAAAATTATGCAAGTTCAAACATCTACGTTTGCCTTACGTCAAAATGATGAATTATTTATTCATGCATTAAGGCTATCTATTAGCCTTCTATTTTATTAATATTAACTGCAACTTGTAGATGGTTAATTGGGTACTTGTAACTCTAGAAGAAAAATAAGGGATTAGGCCAAAACCATGTGATCTAAAGCAGATTTAATTGGATGCCATTAAGCGACGTCATACGCTTTTGTCGAACCTGATTGGCTTCTGAATTGACAAATGATTTTATTTCGATGACGTAGCTTCCAAGTATCCAATCGCACAAACAAATTGATTTTACAGTCTCATCTTTCTGGTGAATTTTTTTTCGTGTTTATCTCATGGAATTTTAGACATCACATTAAATAAATGAGTTAAATAAATGATTTGTTACGCGATGCAAAACCATACAGGATCAAAAGTTTATGTTTGCTTTGAGTTACAATAATGAATTAGTTATTCATAAGATAATGCTATTAATCAGCCTTTTATCATATAAAAAGCAATTGTAGCCTACAGAACGCTAATTGAACTTTAGAATTTATTCCTATTTATTTATTCTATATTCTTATTTTTCTTGTGTAGTGTATCCATTTTCGAGAGCATCACGCTTGCATCAAAAAGTTTCAGGTTTAGTCAAATAAAAACGGACTACGTAACGCAACATTTGACTATACAAATACCATTTAATTTATAAGAAATTAGAAGACTCCGCCATCTGTTTGCTCCTATTAATCCCCCTACACTCACAAACCCCCAATAATAGCTTCGTATTCATCATTAAAGTCCATATTTTTTCACGAAAACGAAGAGCGTTTTGTTAATAAATTATATAACTATGCGTATTAACGTTTTACTATTGAAATAAACGATTACCTAGATAAAAAAATATTCTGTCCTTGATGATTACTTTTAAAGTACAGATGATTATTAACTTTGAAACTTGCTTACAAAAACGGCACAATTTTATTAGCAAGTTATTATTACAATATTATTATTATTATTATATATTAATTACAAAGATTTCTTTCCTTTAAACTTTTAAACACAAAAAGTCTTAGTTTCCGATTTTGAAATATCTTTTTTCAAAGTGGTATTTTATATTTTTATTATTAGAAACTTTATTTTCATAAGCATTTTAATATAGTAAGATCAGCTTGTATTACTGGTGCTTATTTCTGCCAAAATAGGCACTGGGAAACTAGGCACTTTTTTCCTTTGGATAAGGCTTTGAAAATGCCACTTTAATCGAAAAGGACAATAAAAATAATTAACATTATGGTGTTAAAGAATACTCTAAAGAGAAGTGTTGACAACTTTTATTTTAAATAAAATATGTGTTCTAAGCGTTACAATGAAATTGAATCACAGCATATTTATATTTTCTTTTATCTTTGCAAGTAATTCAAGGTATACCAGATCTCAACGGATTGACGAAGGAGACAAAAATAGAGCTATAGCAGTGGACCTAATTGCAGCAAACTGTCTAGGTGAAGCTGGATGGTCTCTCAGAGGCATGTCGACCAGGTATCGTTCATTACATGCACACTTCACCTTTCGGTGTCCTCTAACGCTTTCTGTCGGTCAACTGATCCAAAACTCTCATCACTGTAATGCTGCATATGAACTTTTGTACAATTGGGAAATGATCCTTCGTGAAAGCCAATGATACACCAATCTCTGTAGGTTTTTGAAATTTAAACGTCTTACATTGAAAGAGATTTTGTTTTGCTGTATTTAACATTTAGCACAAGCAGATAACCATAGCCTATTTTCAACGTCTCACGATGGACTTCTATTTGTCGAAGCATGAGTTTATATTGCGAAAAATACGTCATTTTTGTTGAACAGTTGGCGTATTTAACATCAAAAACTCTTATTGCTTTTTCGTGGATAATTTAATGCCTCTGAACAAATTTCTAAAGAAACGTCTAAGGCTATACTTTTTTGACTTCTTTTTTATGTTCGGATTATCTTGCCGTATTTCATATCCACTTTCTTCCACTTCATCACAAATGTTGCTGCAAAAACAATTGAATACATTGCATTAAAAAATCATCTTTCCGAAGGATTTTAATATAAATTGTAAAAACTGTGGTGTAATACCTATTCGAATTTGGTGTTCAAAAATGCTAAACATTGAGCAGATGATTACTTTAAATCAAGTTAATACCATATCGAGCGTATATACACATTTTAAAGGGTGTAGTTAAATCCTAACACCAATAATTAATGAAATTTACACCAAGCTAAGAAGATTTTAACTCCCTTTCATGGTTGGGAACAGGGGCGAAGGATTTTATATTGTTTCCTGTCGTTTTTAAGTGATCATGGGGCCTTCCTAGTCGAGTGGTATCGCCCGCCAAACGCTCTGTTAAGCGTGGAGGTGGCGGGTTCGAATCCCGCTGTAACCCTAGATGTATTCTTTTTGATGTCCTTCTCTATATTGTGCTATCTGTTCTTCTACTTGACAAAGGTTTATAAGCCTTAATTGAGCACATAAGCCTGCAAATCTATGTCGTATATCAATAAATCAAATCAAATTAAGTGATCATAAATTTTGGTGGGGGAAAAAAGGAAAATTGAAATTTTTTTGTGCGTTTAAACTGGTATAATCAATGACAGAATACTCGAGCTATACATAATGAGTGAGTTTACTTAATTACCGACATTATTTTCGAAGATATGAACTCTTTTAATTTTCGATCTATGGCATCGAAGCCTAAAATTAGGCTTAGCTATCTACACCAGTGTCTATGGGGCAGCAAGTTCCAATAATATGGTCAATTATTATTTGTCAAGTAATTCCAATATTCTTGTCGGATTGAGTTGACAAATTGTTCATAACTTATTTAAAACCAAGTTTCAATCTTCTTTATTGATAATCAACAGCATTGGATTTGGTCGGCAGCTAAATTCAATGTTTATGTTGGATTAATTAATCATGCAAACAGCTAAATTAGACACGTATGTTTTTAGTCTACAGAAATTTGTCAATTATATTAAATAATTTTATAATATTTAACTTCCATTCACTTAGGTTTTGTTAATCCAAGCTTGAATTCATATTAACATTTTCTCTGTGCTGTGAGTTTGATTAATTAACAAACTTATTTTATTTTATGAATCAGTGTCTATATACATCCTAAATAAATGATTCCTACTTTATATTGTACTATAAAAATAACATTACTAACTCTTAAGAGTATCATATCTTACAGTAAATAAAAAATTTACTGTAACTGTATAACAAAAATGGTGGCTGCTACTTTACACCAAGTACTGTGAAAGAACGTTTTTGTTGCTTCACTACGCCTGGAACTATCATGACTATTGATGTAGGAGTTATTAGTGTAGTGCAGAGGTCGCCAAAGTGGTCTATATAGACCCCCAGGGGTCTATTTAACAGAAGCGGGGGTCGATCTGAGGCAGGAGGGCGAATGGGGGTCGATCCGAATCGGAAGGGTCGCTTGCGGGTCAACAAAAAAAACCAGTTCTCAATACGCAAATCACACATACCTAATTAAGTATGTAAAATTTGTGAATTTTTTTTATAATTGACTCAATATCAGTTTCTTTATAAAACATAAATTAATAAACGTATATTTATTGGGGTGAAACAAGTATTTACGTACCACCGCGCAGTGGCACGAACTCAGCGCAGTTTATAAGTCATATGCATATGTGCGCTTGTCCAAATGTCACGTGTGACGAGCATTGACGTTACAAATGCAAATATCATACGCAGTTTCAGCTATCTTTGCAAACTGTGTTGAATATTTGCAGTGTCATTATTAAAACTTTTATAGTTTTGGATAATTAGTTATTGTTTCGATAAAACCATTCGTTTGGTTTAGATATCAATTTTAATTATCAATGCACAAAAAAGAAGGTAAGCATTAATAATATGGATTAGTACAGCCCGCGACAAAACTATAGCACACTTTGTATTTTTTTACGAAAATTACAAAATTGACCAATTTTGACGAAAATTAAAATTGACCAATTTTGAACCCAATATAGCGAACCTTGCAAAAAAACACCAGGCACACCCATCTCATTGATCAAGAAGCAGTAAATCTTTAGTTACTTTACTTATTATATCTACTTATGCATAATTACTTATTATTTAATAATAAGGTATTTAAATTTCAATATTAATATATTTTTCATAAAACTATTGTTACACAATGTACTATTACTTTAATAAATGTTTAAAATCATAAAATAAATGTACAAACACAGTATCTAATAGAGTTTTATTTTAACTAACAGAGAATTTCTTTTGTGAGGGGGTCGATGGAGATTTCGAAAAATTATATAGGGGTCGATGATCAAAAAAGTTTAGCTATCCCTGGTGTAGTGGAACACTACTTTGGTGTAAAGTAGTTGCCACCATTTTTTGTGTTGAGATACACTAACTAGGGTCTATTCATTGGCCATCGAACGATGTGTCCCCTTAGTCTAAGGCT